AACTTTTTAAAATTCTAGTTCCAATATCATGATTATTACTCACATTACAATTATTCTGTTAAATTTATGTTTAAAAAAAAATGTGAAAGGATACGACTACCGGTAGCGACGGTATACCAAGCCACGTTCCGAGCGGTAACGTAATGCTGTCCGCTATTTTCGACGGCTGTAACGTAAGAAATTTTTAGAACAATTTCTCAGAAATATTTGGCGACGCTAAAGATCTTCCAATTTTACTACCAATAAACTGTGCAAAAACATTTACCAGATCCTTCGCCGAATTATTCAGTGCGAGCGCAGCTAGCGAATGTCCTCTGAGGTGCAGCCAGACGTTATATTTGTCACATATCGCTCGTAATCGCGTAATATTGTCGCAATGTCCCGTCAACACCGAGCCGGCTTCGGCTAGGACGAGCAACGGCGTTACGTTGTTCGACTGAGTGTCCTCCGCTAAGCGTCGTTCCAGCGCTGAGACGTCCATAGTATGCCTCGAGCCGAACATAGTGTTATGCGGGATTGGTCTTATGCAATGAAGCGGCAAGGAGAGCTGTGAAAGTACAACAAATTTTTAACGTGTTTTATATATCAATCAGCGTTTCTCCCGATTTTTTTCTTTAGACAGACTTTCTTTGTCGCAAAGAATCATTTCATTTGATCACAAAATATATCAAGCTTTTTTAAATTGAACAGAATTTGAACTGAATTGAGTTCTTATATACTTGGCTCCAACATGCACATGAGAGAGGTAAGCTCGAGGGGTACTACCTGTCTGCACAAATGCTGCACGACGCCCATGGGTGCAGCGACGGAGCTGTAAATCAGGGGAGGCTGAGACACGAGGGCGGTGAAGCCCTCCTCCATGTACCGCGGGTATTTCCGATGTAGGGCGAGCCGCGTCACCCTGACCAGCCCCTCGAGGTGGTCCTCGTGGAAGGAGGAGGCGCAGTCGACGAAGCGGAAGATGTGGCTGAGCCATCTCGTCGTGTCGGCCGCGAGGCGACCCGCGAGCTTCTGCGCGTGTGTCTTCGGTAACGCTACCGCGTAAGCCGAGACGGTATGCGTGATTAAGGCCAATTTCGCCGCTTCGGATAGGGTTGGCAGAGCGGTGATCTGACTGATCGGCGAGTCCGTGGATCCTGGCTCGGCTAGTTGCGGCGCGTCCTCATGAACTACCAAATCCTAAATAGAAATTTCTGAGATCAAGTTTTATATAAGAGTCAGGTTAAGCTTCTTATAATCTTTCTTTTATGGCAAAACACAAGACATATTTTTAAAAAATATTGTAAGAAAGAAAAATATTTTTTATTCTAACTGATTCGTATCACTTAATATGTAAATATATTAAAATGTGTCTGAAGAAAATGCAAAGTAATGTATATTAATTAGCGTAATGTATATGTTGGACGGAAATGATATTTGGTTATTGAAAGAGATGTCAAAAATATCTAGAAAATTATCCGAAGAAAAAAATTCGTATGTATTTCAGAATTATAAGTCATGCTGCGTTAACGCGGATTATATCATTCCTATTTTCTATTTTTAGAGATGATCGAGAAGAATGAATTTATTTCGAATTGGCGACTGGAATGAAAGTGTGTCCTCTATCTTTGACTCTCCGCTCTCGAAATCATTCTACATTCAAAAAGCGCTTCCAATTATACAAAAATAAAATAAATGATAAATCTCTACTCCTGAAGAGTACACAAAAATAAATTGCTACATATTGTAACTTTAAAATCGCGGTTTGACGAGCAAGAAAAGAAACGTAAAAAAACAAAAAACAAAAAGAAGAGCAATAATAAATTCTCGTGACGCAATCGGCGACAATTAGTGACAAATCAGAAATTCAAATTCGCGTCTACTCCGCTGCGTTGTTTCGAAGCGGACACACGCCAGAATTACGAGACGTAGTAAACAAAACAACGACACAAAAACACGGCACCCACGTGACATGTAATTATCGCCGTCGCGCTATCGGCAAGCGGCCAACGAGCGGCGCGTAATCGGGTCGGCCGCGGCCCAATCGCGCGCGCTGGTTTCCGCTGACTTACGAGCGTAGGCGCGTAACCTACACCACACCTGTATCAACGCCAATATCTCGTCCGGTTTCTTCGGCTGCGTCAGGAATCCCGAGGGGTTGTTCCACGTGATGCCGCCGCCGTCGGCCGCCCGTTCCACCGCCCGCTCCAGCCGCGCGATCACCTGCGACGCCTGGAACTGCAGCGCGCCCACCTCGCCCGTCGTCGCGCACGGCGAGTCGTCGTCGCCGCCGCCGCCGCCGCCGCCGCCGTCGCCGTCACCGGTGCCACCGACCTGTCAAAATCGAGACACCCACTGGGTTAACCTTACGTGCGCCGTTGTCGCGCGACGCGACGCGCGGCCCGCGAGCACCCGCGGTCGCCGTTCGCCGCGGTCCGTCGGGCCGAGTTGATCGCCGCACGGTTACGCACCTCCGCTATGTTTTGCGCTATACTTTCCATCGCCGCGTTATCGTTTGTGTCAGCCTCCTCGGCCATCGTGGCAGTAGTCGTGGCCGGCAGTAGCGTCGCGCGGCGCGCCGCCGACGTCGGCTCGATCCGGGCGACGATCGATCGGCCGCGTACTCGACACGGGCAATCACGGACTTCTTCCCCGGCGCTCCCGCGTGGCCGAGACACGTCCAAGTGCCGCGGCGGGACGAACTTGACTGGAATTTTTTTCACGGGCTTGTATCCACGGCGGTGAATCGCGGGCGTGGGAAGAAACGGGGCCCGGCCAGCGCGCGGGACGGTACTTGCTTTATCGATATGGCCGCCACAGCGCCATTCGTTCAATTCGCGAATAAAGTGGAATATTTCCTACTGATTGCGCTCCTCTCTTATCGCGGAAGGGTTTGCACACTAGAACGTTTTAAACGCTTTGCTTATTAAACACACTTTAGCTTATTGTATATGTGAACATTTATCGAATGTTATTAAATAAATTGTGTTATTTATAGTAATCTCTTTTATCTGTTATTTTTAATAACTATCTATAATAACACGTAATTTTTTATTCCAATAGTCCAGTAATTTTAGTAATCTCTTATCTATTAGCGAATATTTGCTCTGCGCAGCTAATCGCGATAAAGTACCTAAAATTAGCAAGGATGTTGCAAAAAAATGATGTAATATACAATATGTATACAGTTATTCTGCTATTGATAAATATTGCACAATATATAAAGAAATATAAAAATTAATAATTTACATTGTTCAATGATAAAAATTTTATAGCGGCCAAATGTGCGATAAAAATTGAAACGACTTTTTTAACGACGAATTTCTTAATGGTACCAGTAGGAATGGAGGAGTGTTGTAAGTGTGAATGTAAATTTTTATTATAACATTACAGATACGCAACAACACGTGTATTCACAGGAGTTATACAATCTGGATCGTAGCACCAACCTTTGTGAGTGCATCTCGCAATTTCTCGGCTTCGTCTTTCGCTATGTCCGCCTTCACTACCGCGGGTGCGCTTTCGACGAACTTTTTGGCCTATTTTCATACAAGACAATTAATTTTCAATAATCCTATATAGTTATACTTTCAAGGATTACGATTCAATACCTGAACAAGATTTGTGTCCGGCAACAAGCTCTTCACCTCTTTGATTAGCGCTACCTTCTGCTTTTCGTCGAATGCCATTAACTTAACGGTGAACTCTGTTTGCACTTTCTTTTGCATCTGTTCCTCCTCCTCCTCCTGATCAAAGAAAATTAAAATTGTTCTACTTCAAAAGATTTCATACACGATAAGTAGCTCAATTATATTTTCTGGCACTTGTCCTTCCGATTAAGAGCAATAAAAGCCCCTTTTTCTAAAATCTTGTATCCACAATGTTAGAAATCAAGATCTCGGATGAAGAACAAAAATTAACAAATCTCATTCGAACAATTCAGCCAATTGATCAATGTAATTTCTACAGCAGTTCTTCCTTCATCCGAGATCTTAGAGCAATTTTTCATTTCTAACATCATAGATGCAGGGACTTTAAAAATTACATTCTGCAAAACAAGACTTAAGTCGATATTTTTATATTTAAACTTCTTAAAAGCCAAACCAAAATTAACTGAAATTCACGAAGTAAAAAATATAAAAAAATTGATGAAATTACAATTATATAATCGTGTGTTCTGGTGCTAAAATTCAGAAATTTACAAAAAATAGAGTCAATTAGTTTGACTTCCGAGAGACATATTTTTCATTCGTTTCGATAGATGTAACATTTATCGCCTTCGCAAGCGTTTGCAGAAGTGTTCGAAAGAACGGATAAAAAAGTTTGACGATACCAGGTACCTGGATAGAACGGATAAAAAAGATTCAGATTGTACGACACGGACCGTCAATGGGGTGTACTGACGCTAGTCAATATTCTCGCGAAGAATGCTTTAACAGTACGTGTCGTTGCTGGAACATGACGATTCGTGCTGTATAGTCTGAATCGACCTTTATACAGCGCATATATATAAGACACTGTGACAATTACCGCAGCCTGAGCCGCAACGAATCCTCCGACAGGCATAACCGGTGCATCTGGCAGATTCAGTCGTTTCTTCAACAGATCACTGAGCAGTGCTACTTCTATCAGATTGAGAGCGGTGATGTCATTGGCTATTTTGTCGATTTTCGGGTTTACCGGCTTGTCATCAGCAGACGGAGGAGGTGGCGATGGTGGTGATGTGCTTGTCGCTGCCGCCGCACTCGATTCCGTTTGTCGGATAACACTAGATACAACAAACACATAAAATGTTAAAATTAACACATAAAATGTTAAAATAAAAAAAAACTAAAATGTTGCTGCGAGCAATTTTGAATGGTTGAACGTTGATCAAACGTCAATTAAGTCATTCAGTTTGATCGAAGCCTGTCTGATTCTCATAATAATTGTCGGTGGAAATAATCAGATAAAAATTTTAGGTTATGTAGTGTTGTAGGTTATGTAGGCATCTCGTTTACGATAATTTCAATCTCACCATTTGTGAAATCGGCGAAATTGAGGAAGGCTCTGTCGAGATATCAGACGAATTGTGTTAATCATGTCGAGCCAGTTGCAGACGCGATTCTTTGCGAAAATGTGAGGTGAAATGAATAGATCACTATTCAGCGCGGACAGCTCCAAAACGATTCGTTTAGGTCCTAGGGATCTGTTGTCGATTTCGAGAGAACTAGAACTCCTATTGTCGCTCGAGATATTACTAGATTTCAAATCAAAGTAGCGTTCATAGTTCACAAAATTCTTAGAACATATATTACATATATTAGTATATGTTTTAAGACAAAATTATATACGATCTTTTTATTTCCCGAACAAAAACTCGAGATTATAATAATTAGACGGATTAGATTAAAAAAATTTTTTTTTAATTCGTGATCAATATTATATCGAATCTAATTAGCCTTTCAATAAAATAGTATAAAGTCCGTATCGGACTGAAGATTGAGATTGAGATTGGAATGGAATTTGACCAATTAAAACATAGTTCACTAAATTTGAGATTGGTTTTCTTTCTTTTAATTGGTTAAATCCCAATTCAATCTCAATCTCGATCTTTAGTCTGATACGGGCTTAATAAATTCAAAGATATACTTATAATATAATTGTGTGTTCCTTTTACCGCATGCAAAGAATAACGCTTAATTAAAACAGAAATCTTTCCACTTTGACTGCAATCTGTGATGATTACGTAGCGTTTAATAATTAAAAAATAAATCAATAAATAATCAATCATTTCCTCGACTAACGAATTGAATGTAGATACGATTGTAAATTCGGGCCGCGTTATCTCGTTTCTGTTTTCTCATCGATAAACGGATAAAGTCAAGTTGTAACAAAGTGGAGACATGTCCGCATCTGCCACTTAACACCTGTAAACAATTTGGAAAATCGCTCATGATAACGCGTGGTGGATCTCGTTCTGCTTATCGGCTCCTCCCCAACGAATCGTGTTATGCCGAGATTGGCAATCCGCTCGGCTATTTGGATTATACTGACGCTCCTCTTTCGCCTCGCCGTGACGGAAAATAAAACGTATCCAGGTACCTGGTATTGTCAAACTTTTTTATCCGTTTTTTCGAACACTCCTGCAAATGCTTGCGAAAGCGATAAATGTTACATCTAATCGAAACGAATGAAAAATATGCCTCTCGGAAGCCAAACTGATTGACTCTATTTTTTGTAAATTTCTGAATTTTAGCACCAGAGCACACGATTATATAATTGTAATTTCATCAATTTTTTTATATTTTTTACTTTGTGAATTTCAGTTGATTTTGGTTTGGTTTCTAAATATAAATAATAAAAATATTTTACGATAACAAAGACGGTTATTCATACAAGCGCGATCAAATCGACGCTCGATCCTCTACATCTTTTACAGAACAAAACTTTTTGGATTCTCGGGAGGACAGATCGGCGCATGGTTCCTTTAGAAATTTTTGGAAGCAAAGACCATCTCGTGAGAACAAATCACTCGGAACTGTCGGATCGGAATCCCCAAACGAGATCTTGCGATTTCGAGCTGCAGGGGATATAAATTTTGGAGGATACAAAAACGCCAGCTTAAACAGAAGAACTTTGATGGATTATAACGGTCCGGTTATAACAGAGGATCTCGATGATACGGGCGATCAGAATCTCGCGGGCCACATTCGCGTCAAGAGAAACGAGCCGATCGTTCGCCATCGGCCGAGCTCCGTGAATTTCCAAGTGAATTTGCTTCCGCGAAATTCCTGGCGTAGAACCGATGTGACAAGCATATTCGGCGACTCGGCGTTCGAAGGGTCACGTTCGGATCACGAGAACCGATCTGGTACCACCGTGGATACCATGGTCTCGCACTCGCGACACAAGCGAGGACTCGTGTCGGAAAACGGACATCGCAGGAAACGCGTGAAAGGAAATACCGGATATTCCAAGCATAACGTTGAGACGAGAAACAGAAATAAGAAGCATGGTGTCTCGAAGTCCCCCCATCAGCTTGTCACGAAAAAAAAGAGCAATCCAACCTCGAGTATGTGTTTTTTCATTCATTTTTCGTTTCAACTTTAATTATTACATATATATCAGAGATTGCATCTATATTTTACTAAATATAGTCATTCAATTTTTATATTATAAGAGATGATATTTTTTTAATCGAATAAAACTCGAAGACAGTCAACACAAGGAAGAAGGGTTTATTGTTATCTAGATTCATTTGATTGTTTTTTTTAATCTGAGAAACAGCTTTAAATTAAGTTTAAATTTTTAGACGTAAAGAAAAGGAATTATTATTTATGATCATATTTATAATATAAAAGCCCTCAGATAATATATGTAAAACTATACAAAAAAAAAGATAAAACCAGAAAGTATTTAAAACCAATTTCAGCATAATACTTCGTTAGGGAGAAGCCGATAAGCAAAATGAAAACCATCACGCGTTATCACAAGCAATTTTCCAAATACAACTTCGTGAATATACTGAATATGAAATATTATACAAAGGCAAATCTGAATTTTCAGTTTTTCAATTTCTTTTTATCTATTTATCTCACTTGTTTGTAGGAAAAAAAAATAAGAATACTCAAGAAATTGGAATGCCTATCAAAAAGATCGACAAGTCGCGGGTAGAATCCAGGATAGAGAAAAGGGAATCCGAAAATAGCGATTTCGACATTAATACTGGCACTGTTAACGAGAAAGCGGAAGTCTTAATTAGCCAGAAAGAAGATGCGTCATTAACCAACAATAGAAGTTTCGCTGAACAGCGACAGGAGAACGCCATTATGTTACCCTTCGTACACACTGGAAGAGCGGAGTTGCGCGTTCGTATCGAAAAAATTCCCACGAACGCGTCGTCGCTTGTCAGTCCCAGTTATTCGACGGATCGTTCTGTCGGGATTAGCCCTTGCTCGATTGTATTACCGAAATACAACACGAGCGATGAAAATCTCGATGTTAACACAAATCTTAAGCTCGCCCCGAATTTCGATTCCGTCGGAAGAGGGAAGGCTGATAACGTAACAGTGGAGATTACGCTGAAGAAGCTGGACCTGGGAGACGTATCTGGCCAGGAAACAAGCAAGTCTGAAGATACATCGTTTTATAACGCGGAAGTTCGCCCGACTGGATCCGACGTGCTGGGAATCGAGGACAACCGTAACGCGAAAAATGAAAAGTACGATCGCACGAACGAGGCGTCTGTGGAACTCTCGGACGAGGACGCGAAGTCGCGCGCGAAGAGAAATCAGCAAGTTACGTCTAAGCGTTATCTACGAAGCGATAAAAACGCGAAAGACTCGACACGTTTCAAAGACACCGAACAAGGAATCAGAGACACGAAGCGCGAGAAGACGAGGACTCTCGGTAATCGCGTTGTGAGATCGATCGAAGAAATTAAAAATCTTGCCGAAAAATTAATCGCCAAGGTAAGGAACCGTCGTTCGATCAGGAATCACTTCATTGCGGATTATATCAGAGCTAGACATCCTTCGTTTTCAGATAAACGAACTGCAGGTATACGTGAGTAATCGTAATGAGACTCTGTGCACGAGGGATTTCTGTCTCGGTAAAGACGTGGCTCGCAAAGAGGAACCGAGAATCTCCCTGGAGAAGAAGAAAGACGTCTTGAGTTCCGCGTCCAAGATCGCCGACAGTCGTCGACGTTTTGCGAAGGAGGCGGCGGCGACATCAGCAGGTAAAAAAGCATCCCCGATGCGTTCTAGCGGCTCGAGATTCGCGCGAGGAGAGTATCGGACGAGGAGGAGACCGCGTCGCAAGTGGGGCAGGTGGATGGATTGGAGCAGCTGTAGCGTCACCTGCGGCAAGGGTCGACAGATCAGGTGGCGGCATTGCCTGCACGATTGCAACGATGCGGAAACCGAGATGGAAGAGAAAGCGTGCCAATTGCCGGCCTGTCCCCCGAGTAAGTTCCTCGGAATATTCTGAAGGATACCTCCTTCGGCAAACGACGATCGGCGACCGAATATTCAGCGACGTTGACCGCAATTATTAAAGAAATATTATGTAGTACAGGAATAATAATTTCATTTAGTACTACATAATCTTTCGGTTGCTTAAAACGTATAGAACTTGATTGATGCAGCTGCACTTTGTAAACAAGGATCTCGAATTTGCTTCTTGGTAAGGAAAGTTCGCGAAGTTCATCAAATTCCTTGACATCATTTTATTCTCTTTTTTTTTATATGGGTAACAATTTCCGTACAAAGATTTTTATGACCTCGAATCACGTGTTTACGTTTTACACTACGTAGGAACTTTCAAAGTTACAAAGATGCAATTAACGTTCGATGACGATTCATTCCGGGAAGATAATTTGAACGATGAAAAATTTTTGAAATTTGCACGTTACAAACGTTTATGTCGCTGTGTGAAACTTGGACTTTAACCGAGTGAAATATTTTTTTCTACAGCCTCGTGAACCTTCCTTGCTTATCAATTCACGTGTAACACGGTTGTATTTCGCATAATTATGTAACAAATCGTTTGATGTATATTTCTCATCATCTCATTATCAAATACAATAATATATTATACAGCATTTTAAACAATATCTCCTTCTTCGCCTTTAGTATTCACAAATAACGAGGGCTTTCATTGCTTAAAGAGTAAGTCTGTCGTAGCTCAATTATCGTATTCATTGTCACAAAGTCAAACGAGATACGATTGTCCGCTCCTTCGTTAATGACAAAATGTTAACACGAGCGTATACTTTCCGTGCAAGTAGATACGAAATCTATACAATGCTCTCTGCTGCCTTTTCCTAATCAAATGGCGCAGGACTTCGCTCTATCAGCAATCCGTACATTTTTTGCGTGTTATAAAAAATCTGATATCGTACAATATTTATAAAAGTTTCCTACAATACATTTTCTCTTACGTACGTTTTCTGTGATATTGACTTAAAAAAAAATGTTAATAAAATTTAATTGTTTAACATTTTTAGGCGTAACGTAAGAATCGAAGTGTACTGTGTGAGCAACGTATAATTCATTTGTTTATTAAGCTAGATGACATGATAGTACTCTCTATATAAGCAATTATTTGTCAAAAAAATATTCAACAAATGCAAATATATGTTTATACGGCGAATTTTATTACAATTGGAATATTATCACATCATTAGTATAAGTTTCTTCAATCATCAACAGTTTAACATTTTTACTCTTTCCTGGACACTCGATGGATATCCATAAAGACCGTTTTTAAATGCAAAGGCAAAATCAACATTTTGTGATAATTGCCGAAAAAAACAACTCGATCAATATTATGACTTTTAGTGTGCAAATATATAATTAGCATCCATTTATCTTTCATCGAACATAATTTTAGACATGTCAATTATCTGACGTTTTTTTGATAAACAATCTGTAAAATATTCCCATGCATGGCACATTCGTAAATGCTGTTGATTTAAACAAAATGCGCCTTATCGATATCTAATTTACATTTTTGATGTTATGCTGCGTCTCACTCTTGACTAAGTGCGCAATAAAAAATGCTACAAAATAACGATACACGATATAGCGCCGAAAAATTGTACAATCGAACATTCGTGAAATGAATTAAGCGAATGAGAAGAACCATATCAATGTAAAAAAAACGCCTTCAACTATTTAATATTCGACTTATTCAGGAGAACAGCGTCACATGTACAAATTGATCGCAATGATAAAACGCACCTATTCCTCGCGCGCACGTATTCACGCATACATACAAACGTTCTAACACTCACGCATCGTTACGTAATTCAGTATCAATGATCGCATACCGTGCGCATTGACACCTCGAAATTCTGTCCTAGACCTTAAAAGGACGCAAGTCAGTCATTGTAAATTGTAATATTATTTCTATCACTCGATTACTTAAATTGTGAACGCTATGACAACTTTGAGCTTTGTTTTAACATCGTCGACCTATCTGTAATTGCAACTATCCGGTAGATCTGATACGTGTACGTCAGTTTGCGGTCAAAAAGCCTGATGGTTGCACACTTTTGGCTTATCATTTACAAGACCTAGTCACACAGTGTGGAAGAACCAAGGCGCATCTTGTGATATCGTGTGTGTATATATATAAAGTTCATTTTTTCTTTTTTATATATAAAACCGCAGTGACTTCGTCGTGATCTATGAGATCAGAATACATCACTATTAAAATAATATATTTCTTGCTTGTTGTTCCACTTGATTGTTTTCATCGGAGGAACAATAAGCTAGTATGTCTATTTGCTGCTCTTCACCCCCGGCTAGCACTCGCACATCTCGGTCCACATCAACGCGCATTTTCGTGAGTATTCTTTCCACTTCTTCCATCGCGTCCATGCCCAAATTGTCCACTAAAAATAAAAACATACAAGATAAGATGCAATGTACCGAATCAACATTGATAATATTACGATGATAATATGATACTCACAACCCATCGCGATCACATCCGTCGCTATAGTTCTCGCCACGGCTAATCTTACGTTAGGTACTCTGTCGCACGATAAACTTATCAAACATGGTAACATTTCCTTAGTAAACTTGTCTGCTGGGATCGCGTTGTTGCGGATCAGATGGGCGCATACGAGTGCATAAGTTTGCCGGTGGATCCACTTTTTAGCATCTAGAACTAGAGTCTCTCGAAGCTCGTGAATAAGGGACATTGCCAGAGCATGCTCGGTAGACAAGTAGCACATTATTCGTGTGATCTGAAGGAATTTGAACTCAAGTTTATAGGTTGAACTTATTTGAAGCATAATAACGCGCGCGCGCGCGAGAGAGAGAAAGAGAAGTCCAATATCTTACCAGTTCAAGCGCAATGGTTCTAACAGCGGCAACCTTATCTACAAGCAATTGGAAAGACAGCGGCGCGATACTCTCGGCCACATCGCTCGGACTGAACAGGCTCACAATCTCGAGCAATTGCGTGGCCAGTTCTTCCCGAAACCTCCAATTCCATTTGTTATCCGTGGCGAGGAAGTCGCTCAGCCTCGACAGATATTGACGGCGGTTGATGGGTTTGAGTATTTTCAGAAAGGTCGCCAAATGCTTGAGCACACCTATTCTGACCTCGTCTAGATCCTTGATAAAACCTTTGTGGATCGACACGAGATCAGTGGCAGTGAGTTCCTCGCCCAGAATCATGGCAATCTCGTGAATGCTGGACGCTAGGGTACGCCTGACTCTCCAGTGATTCGCGATCGACAACGTCCGGTAAGCATTCTTTAAGCAGTGCCAGTTCTCTTTGCCGAGTGTGAGCGCGACCGCGGGAAAACTGAAGGCACAATGATGTGGGATCTCGGCACCCATGTCCATGCATTGCTCCGGTTCGGCCATCGATACGTAGTAATTGATTAATTCTTGAGGTACGATCTCTTGCCCGTTATTCTTCGCATCTAAATTCTTACAAGATTCGTCACTACTGCGCGTGGAGTGATAAATCACATCTATCACATTTATATGTGATAAAATAGGTAAAGACTCGATAGTCTCGATGCAATTATTAAATAAAAAAAATCTTTTCTCCTCGGATTCTTGCTGATAAACTTTTTGGAATCTTTTGGATGGATTTTGTGATCGAACATCGCATTCTATGTCCCACTGTATCGGCACTGGAAAACGCTCCTCATCGTAATGATCTTCATCCTCTTCGTGATCTTCCTCCTCATGATCTTCTTCCTTTTGTTCATCAATTTTATCATCCATGTTTGATTGCCCATTTAGATTTGAATCGTCATCATCCGAATTCACGACGGGAATCGGACTTTCGGAAGAACAGGGCGAATTACTATTTTCTTCCTCGGGCGTGGAATTTTCTTCCGTTTCCGTCACCTTCTGGGCATTATTGCGATTCATTGCCGACTGCCTTGCAGCATGAGTAAGCTCATCATCCAGTGGTATATCCGGAGGTATATAATAATATAAAAATGGATTGTATTTCTCCGCTTCATGCGCATCACGCGACTTTGCCAAGAACTTCAATTTACGACAAGTCTAAAATTCAAATCATAGAAATATAATAATTTTATATTTAAAAGCATTTTTTAAAAAGGCGTCGCACACATAAATTCATGAGTTTACAAGTTTGTTTCATGTAAAATTATAATAAAACAAATTATTTTTTCAACGTTTTTAATGTTTTGATGTTTGAAAGATAAACTATGCTTCATAATTTCTAGAACTAAAGAAAAATTTTAAATAGAAAGTATAATTTTTATTGTATTTTTTATAAGACAAATTTTAGTAAATGTTAACATTATAATATATCGTTTGTACATACCTCATGAAGTTCCCCCTCCGAATCCGACATTTTAACGTCATCATGTCTCAAGTTCATTACACGCCGGTAAAACGCCGAATTTTCGGTATTGTATCTGCATTTGGTATTTGATATCATATCTTCGTCCATATCTGGCATTTGACTTTTGCCCTTCGAAAGAAAGATCCCTTCGTACGAGTAACGTATGCTGCAAAACATACATTCAATTTAGACTAATACAAACTCGAATTGCAATAACAATATAGAAAAGTGCGCCGCTATACCTGGGATAATTATCCTGCTTACTGGTATACACTAATTCGCCATTCTTATTATAAGTGACTTCGGCGAACTGCTTGGCAAAAGTCGATATGAACGGTCCGAGTATCTGAAAAGCCGATATTCGCACCCATTTGGAGTCATCGTTCAAGTGCTTAGCCAGTATGTCCGCAAGTAACAATCGGCGATGCTCGGGCGTTGAACAGCAGGAGACCGGCATCATGACGTCGACGCACGCTTTTCGCACGTTCCACATTCTGTCGCCACACAGATCAACAAACGTAGGAATCTAGTGGACAATTCGAATAACATCAGTAGACGATACCCCTAAATTCGTACCAAAATCAAAATACGTCCGTGACTATTTTTTTAGCCTTCCATTTTTATATATATTTGCAAATAAGACTTACCAGCTTGCTGTACAGTTTCTCCTTTCCCACGGCGGTGCACATTTCCCCAAAGTGAGTAGCGCAGATTCTTCTCACCATCATGTCGTTATTCTCGCATAGGACTAGGAATCGCGTCAGAAAGATCTTTTCTGTAAGTTCGCTACCAATCAGCGGTGCCAGTCTACACATGAGCTGCGAATCGATATAGAATATGGGACGTTGGGAGAATGAATAAGCATTAAGAGAAATTCAATGTAAATAGATACGCGCGTTATTTAATAGACTTATATCGATGTTTAAGGCGCTTCTTATTTTGATTGACGGAAATTAAAGTTCTAATTAAACATTAAATAGAGTCAACGCACTTAAGTATATAACTATATATATGTATACATAACGAACGATATAACGAAAGAACAATATTTTTGTGAAGTATTAATTATAAAATATTAAGTAACAGGTGAGATACATCGCTCCGTTCCGCTCATCAAAGCTGGCTGTGATATGAATCAATAGCACCACATCACAACCACTCTGATGGGAGGAACAGTCGATTTTATTCAATCCTTCCGTGAGAGACGTGCATTAGTTAATTAGCGCTTATTGTACACAAAATATATAACTACGTATATGTTATGTACAAAATGATACATCTCGATCACATAAAGATAAATAGATTTATTCGAATTATTTACAAATTGCATAATCGCATAAATAATTAAAGTGCACTAAAGTATATTACGATCAAATATATTTACATAAAAAATTAAATGTCACACAAAATAATAATGCAAATCCATCTTTTCTCCTTTGAGAAATAGTGTACGGATATTGTAATATAAAATATAATTTTTTTTACTAGAAAAATGTATGTATATCTTCTTTATAATTTTTTATAATTGTATAGAAACATATCTTTTTTAATTTCAAATTTTAAAAATTATTATTTACAACGTACGTAGATAAGAATGACATCTTTATTTATATTTATTCGCTATTCATAACTTCTTTTTTCCTATTTCAGCCAATTATTCCAGACTTAATTTTTAAATGTCGAGTTTTAAGTATTTATTACTATTATTATTTATTATTCTTGTAGTCGCCATAGTTATACTTGTAATTATATAATACGTCACATATTAAATGTCGAAAATATGAAAAAAAGAGAAAAAAAAAACACTTCGAGAGAATTTCTTTCGCGCATCCCAAACTCGCTGAATTGTGAGTGCCGCAACGCTCATCAAAGCTGGCTGTGATATGAACATAATTACAACAGCATATTACAACCACTTTGTGAGCAACGCGAGCACGCTCTCTCCTCTGCAACCGAGGACACATTTTCCACAGCGATCTCGCGCGTTACGATTCTCGTATGTTACATCCTTCCACGCGATGTAAACGAAGAGGGCGATGCGTAAAACGGCGATCCAAATCGTCAAAAATGGCTGTGATATGAAATTCAGAGGAGCAACACGCCACAACCAATTTGACGATTGGATCGCGTTCCTTCCTATGCGAGGCCGCTATTCATCGGGCGCTTCGGATAGCTTCGAGTGGTGGTTCTTCGGATCGCATACTCTCTTGAAATTTAACGATGCAAATGTGGATATAACGTCGCGATTGGTTACCCTCCAGTAGATCTTTCCATTGTTATTCGTGCCACACGCTTGTCTCCAGATGTGTCGCACGTGTTATCGATTCAACAGGTACGTATATCGATGGCGGAAAGCGGAATCTTCTCTTCTCGACGATCGATTCTGCGGGCCAGCTCATCAAAATGGCTGTGATATGACTCGAAACATTCCACAACCAATTTGATGTATCGGACCGCAAAAGGTATATTCCCCGTTCACGGTGCTCCAACGGCGCTCCTGCAACGTGTCGTCTCTCTCGCCTCACGTGCCTCCCCGCCGCTATTTTTCTGCCCTGTTATTCGATTTTCCCCATTTTTTGCCTCCGATCTCTTAACCGGAGCGCGTTGAAAATGGACACAATTTTGATCATCAAAGCTGGCTGTGATAGTCGAACTCTATGACAAACCAACTTTGATGGTAAAAGTATGCCCTGTCTTTCGTCAGGATGCCGGTATTTGCATTTTCCACGAACGTCCCACTCCATCTTTCTCCTTCTTTTGTTTATGGAAAATCTTCAAGCGATGACAGGCCAAGTATTTCCTTGCTCCTTTAATCTTGCTTTTAAAGCTTGTTTACTTCATAAACGCGCCGAATTCCTTTTTGTTTTTCTCTATTTCTCGCAATTTCTTCTCTCCCCACATTCCCTTTATTTTTATTTATTGTTATATATCGTTCTCCTTGCTTCGAATTGATTTTTGACAACGGCGCGTACATATTTGTAATTTTCACCGCGCGATTCTCATACTCTTTCGCGCAACGTCGCCGGGGCGAACGGACGCCGCATGAAAGACAAGATAGTGAGACGCGATTGCGTTAGAACATCTCACTACCCATGTCTTTCAGGAGGAATCCGTAAATACGGAGAACCATATTCCCGATTTCGCACACGCGGCGCATATGTATAATATCTCTAGCCGCGCAAACATACGATTTCGAAATTTTTTATACGCATTAATGAAAAATTCGACATAAAATAGATTGTACAAAAGACAAATTTCAAAAGATCGTAATTGTCTTAAATAATTATATTTAAGACCGTTAAAAATGTCAAAAATAAAATTAGAACGTTTTTTTTTTCAAGAACATCTATTTTGGTCTACATAATATCTACTCAAAAAAAAAAATAAAAACGTTAGTTATAAAATATAATTATTTTCTTCAAAAATTTAGGACTTTTTACGCTGCTACCGTCTTTTATATGTAGCTTCCTTTAAGATAGCGATGTAATTTCAAGAATATATTGCGCACGGTCTCTCTTATGTCAAATTTTCGATTTATTTTTGCAATACGGGAGAATAAGAAGAATGAAGCGCGGGAAACTTACGGAGATGTTCGCGTTTCGGACATGTTCATCCACCATCAAGTAGGATAGGCTTTCTATCGTGGGGCAGATAACATTCTCGATTGTGTCGTTGTCAATAAGGCCTCGTTTCATCAATGTTGTCAGCGCGCTTCGGGCCATTAGCCGTACCTGCGGAGCAAAAACGTCTCATAATATTTACATCGCCGTTGGAATATTTCAGTTTTTGTTCTAGAGTACTTGTTTATAACACGTGCACGGAAACACAGAGGTCAACTTGCCTGATTGTCCAGGTCGTTCAGATACGTCATCACGATACCGAGCAGGTGATTGCGGAGGACGTCGCCGAAGAGATGCGGCGCCTCGTGGCAGATAATCGCTACATTCGGAATCTGCTCCACCAGGTCCGCTCGCACTAGAGCATCTGCGAACAGAAAATGCACGTTAATATGACCATCGGCAGCGTAGAAAGTCGCATGGACTCGTCACATATTTATATATTTATCTTCAACTTGATTTCTAACGATATAAGAAGTTTCATGAAAAATCGGGAATTTTAATTGGATTGAATCAACCCGGTCGAGCGTGAATAAACTCACTGTGATGTTTTCTTAATCTTTACTGGAATAACAATGTGTTTCGAAACACGTTATTTTATACTAAAAGAAACCGGTAGAAGAAAGTCATAAATACGTAATAAATATATTTGTTTTCCGAATTAGTCTCAAAGAGCCGACATCGCAAGCGTTTTCAAACCTCTAAGAATTCAGTAATGGGAATTAATAATTTAAATAATTTTATTGGGTCGAATCGATAAGTACGAGCAAATCTAATAAATTCTGAATGTATTTTCAGATCTGATAAGATCAAAAACCTATCTCATAGCGGCGAAATTAAATTTTATAAGGAAAATCCAACGAACAAAGTTTGTTACATACTACTTGAAAGGAAATTAAATTATTTTTTCGTCTAGATTTTATCTTTAAGTGACACGTATAATGCACATTTTTGGATACTTCGAGAAAGAGAAGAAACACTAAAAAGTGTTTCTCTCCAACTTTCTTCGGATACTGTTTCTAATGCAGATGAACTATAGCAATTGCCATAGTATCCATATCTATAAGATCTATGAGATTTACCTAGCTGCTATCATGTTACCGCGTGCTCGTTTCCCGCAAGCTTGAGAATCACGCGCGAAGAAGAATACTCTCTCGGACGACATGGATGTTAACTGAGGGTTCGCGGCAAACGCAGTGCGAAAGCAATAGCTCCCCGAAGAGCCACGATGGAGGGGGTATATATGCTGGAAGCGGGGGTGCCTCAGCTTACGCAGGGCCTCACGATAGGGCCGCGGGCCAAAGAGAACTAACCCGATTGGGGTTTCGGAGTATGTGCGAAGAGAGAATAAGGGAAAGAAGGAGGGAAAGAAACGAGAAAGGAAGTGCGTGCCATCTTTTGGGCCCACCGACCCTAATCCTCAAATGCCCTTGAACTCGCTCTTTCCCGTTTCGCTTTTCACGAAAAAATGCCCGTTGTTTTGTTTGATCTCTTCTCCTTTTTTGTCGCAAGGCTTCTCAAAAGTTGACCCCGCAGTCGCACTTTTTCGAAACACGCACAGGCTACGCTATTAATCATCAGCGAATATTTTCCTTTCCCGCCTTTTCTGTTCAACGTGGATTTTTCTTCAGGCTCCCCAAAAATCCTCGCTGCGGTATGTCAAAGATTTACCATCATCACGTCAGCGTACCTCTCTACGAAATATGCGAGGGAGAATATCTTCAGGCGATCTCTTAAAAATTTTGCCATCAAGATTTCGACATTCAATGAAATATTCCAAACGTATAAAATTACTAAACGCATAACAAATAAAAAATTATAGAGATCACGAACAGGTAAAGAATTAATATTCTCATTCATTGTAATTTAGCAATAAATTCATGTATTCGCTATATATCTAATCACAAAGAGTTGTGAATTTCACTGACAATTTTTTATAAAAATATTTTTAATTTTTTTCCCCGTCATTTATTTTTTCGCATTTACGTTGCACAGTTTATTAAAAATAATAATTTTATAAAAAAAAAACTTCGCCTAAAATGGGCTACGAAAGAATGATATTAAATCATGTGTCATTTTGTATTGTTGTGTACGTCATTAGAAAAATAGTTTTAGATGCTGGCTTAGGGGGCAAAAGAAGTTGTGGTCTGTTCAGTAACCACTATTACAATTGATTATTGTCTTCATCATCAAAACAGTTAAAAAATGATATAAAATGTCTTCAATATGCTTAGATAGTAACTTTATTCTTGCGTTTGAGTGCTCAGCGTCTTTAGATATCACATCAGTGGTACACGGAAGGAACGATTTTGCTGAAGTATCTTAAAGTTTAGCTCAATAGTTTAATCAGAAAATAATTTCGTTGGACGCTCCAGTTGGTTGCTAGAATATCAAAACTTCAACATAATTGTTTTGACGATCCAACAAAATTATTTTCAAATCTATATCTTTAGTTAAATTTTTTAATACTTTAGCTGTGTGAACTTCTTTCAGTGAACAACTTGATATTACATCGTACCATAATATTTGCTCGTTACGCTGTCCTATGGAGAAGTACCCTGCAGGCACTAAGGCATTTTTAATGATTATAAAATATGACATATTACAATATTTAATACTGATGGTATATTTCAATAATAACTAATACGTTTTTTAGTATCAAATAGTTAATATCTGCACATATTATGATGCACGATATTTATCCTCTCTACTAAAGTTTCCATCGAAAGTTTTGAGACATTGAAAATTATAATACCATTATTATTTCTCTTAATTATCTCTACAAATACACATATAAAAGTCCAGTGCGTTCGCTCATAGCTCAGAATTCAAAGTACAATAAAATAGGCAAAGTTTTTTCGCTAATATAATTATATTAGTTTCCTGAGAAGTAAGACATCAACTTCCGTAATAATGGAGGTTTACATCTCGAAAGCACAGCATCTACATTGAGAGAATTTTCTTTTAAAATTTACCCTGAAAATCATGGGACAACGTAATATTTCGGCAAATTTTGCGTAATTTTCTCAGTTTTTTTTTACTGTGCATTACAATAAATTTGTTATAGTATATATTGAAAAAAATAGTGAAAATCACATAAAATTCGTCGAAATACTATGTCGTCCCACGGTTAATATGATTTTCAGGGTAAATTTTAAACTAAAATTCTCTCGTGTACACAACAATATGATAAATATACAGATTTCCACGGCTAAAATAATTTCATTGAGACTAGTTTATAAGATACAAAAAAGAATTTCTTCGGTCGTCGCATTCTTACGAATAGGTATGTATATATAGATTAGCAGTGCCGCTCGTAGCCGGCGTAAAGGTTGGAACACGAAATTTTACACTAGTCTCGAACCCTCCTAGTTTCTAGCTTAAGGTCAACGCTCTCGCTAAAAATCGGGGGAAGGGGCAGGGTAAGGAATCCAACATTCCCTCCATCGAGTGGCGTATCCAAAAATACGGAAATGCCGAATAAAATGCACGCGTGTCGCGTGCCCCGGGAACCCTGAACCGGTGCTGCTGCACGTATTACGCCCCCCTTCCGCATGTCCCCCCACGGAAAAACACGGATGGTGGCACGTGTTCACGGGGCAAGATGTTACGCGGTTCGCCTCTAAAAATAGCCGGTTAGGACACCGCCGCCACCTTTGGGGTGCAGCATGTCAGGATGCACCCGTCGCATCATCCCTCGCGCCATCGTGTGCCTCACCATTTCCGAATAGATGACGTGCACTACGTTCGCGTATTGCGAAGTATCCCAACTGGTGGTCTTCCAATCAACAGATTAAACTTCAAGGCAACATTTTTTCCTTTCAGATACTGCGCAAGACAATTATTTGTTACAAATATTTGATTTATGATTAGATATTTGCACGATCAATCGTCAATTTTCTATTATGAGATCTAATTACTATAATAAACTCATAGCTCATGTCGTCAAAATACTTCCAATTTTATATATATAAAAAAAAACCGAGAGTATTAGAGATGAGAATATTTTGTTATCAAAACATACTGCCATATTAATTGATTCTTTATATTTTACATTAAAAGTATTTAATGTAGAGAATCGATCACTTATGATTTATTATTTGATCATAATTTATGATGAGGTTCGAACACACGTATTGTAAAAATACAAATATCGCTTTCTATAAATGTGATTATTTATCATCTTACATTTACATTGCAATTTATGTTTTTCCAAAACGCTTTGCACAATGAAATTCTTAAAATAGATGATTCACTTTTTTTTTTACCGTTCCTATGATGGAGAAACGCTTTTTCATATTTTGTCTTCTCGAACTCGATAAAAATAATTATTGATCTTGATATATTAGATTTTTTATATTGTTACTCGTGACACATACAAATATGAGATACAAAAGAGATCGACTACAGAATATATTTAACGCATTTAAGGAAGCTCTCTTGAAAAGAAAAGAGGCTTGAATCAAACTGGGCGCATCTTCGGAGAAGAATATACGTTTTACTACATTTTCTACGAGTTTCTACGAGTTTCTTCGAGACAACTCAGGTTTCTCGGGAAACCCAGGTAAAAGTTGTCCCAAACATTTCAAAAGGACCCGTAGGGGTCAACGTTTATCGAAATATGCATCGATGAAACTTTTCGAAATGACCTGCAGTCCGTTTCTGCAGCATGATGGTACAAACTGCATCATGGTGTAAATGATTTTTCTTTTCCTTATCCAGAATGCTTTAATCCTTTAATTGAATGCTTTTAATGCTTTAAATCTCAAAATCCGTCTTTCATGACATTCAACTAATCTTTAATCGTAATTTAATTTGTATTCTTATTGCGCATTTAACATCAAATGTATTCGCTGAATTTACTCTTACCTAATTTAAAAATATTTCATATCAATAGATGGTGAGAATTAGATAATAGCATTTAGTATAAATTAAATATCACTGTAATAAATTTATATTTACAAATTAATGACTTTTTCTCGAGTTTATCATCAAAAATAATAAGAACCAATTATCGTGCGATTCTATACCGTGTGATGGACCGCCACGCGTGTCGGATATCAAGAGGTGCCAGAAGGATGCGTCTGTGAATCCTGGTACCAGCATGCGCTACGGCTTTTACGCAAGATTTCCTCGTAGCCAGAGATGGCGATGTTTAAATTAAGAACGAAGTGGGTTTACGTTTGAGACCGGGGGCTGTGCCCTCTCGTATAAATATCGCGGCAGCTTAATGCCATATCCCCGAATCCACGCGCGACTTCCGGCATCGACGGGCGCGTGCCATACCGGAAGCGAGGGCACGTCGTCCTCATCTCTCGTCGTTGCCTCTAACGATAGCGCATACTTTTCGCCGCACCATCTTGCCCTTCTCCTTCGACCCCAAACGAAAACGACTCGTGTGCCCTGTCTCCCCCTTGAGAAACAGCCCCGATACAGCCGGTTGCTGATATTTATACGTTTCCTGTGGCAACATGTTACTTAAGCGCTCTCCCCCGTTCAAGGAGACATGCCCAATTTTGTAGCGAAACACAAGATGTTATTTCAGTTAAGAAAGAATTATGCACGACGAATTTTGACCCCATAGTTCAATATACCTGCGTTTTTCAGAGGTTGCTTAGAGATCTGACTTTGATGACATGTCTCCGTATCTTTTGAAAAGATACAGCTGATTTCTCGTGATATGTGCGATAATTATTTGTACAAAATGAAGTGAAAATTCAGCGGGACGGACCTTAAGACATTCGACTATCTTGACGCATTTTATTAAATGCCGGTCAGGAGTTCGTCGACTGCATTGCTAATATTAACGTTTCCCGTGTCGGCATGGGATTATTTCAACGAAGCCGGCTCAAAGAAAATTCAATTTCTAGCCAAGTGGACGGCGTTATTTTGATAAAAAAGAGAGGATTACGTACGGCAAGCTTTAAAACATGTAATCGATGCTGCGCTTGCAGTTTTTGTCAAGTATTGATCACGAGCTTAGAGCGGAGAGTAAAAGCGTACGCTGTATAATTTTGGTAGTAACGAGAGAGAGTATATATCTACGACCTCGACCGTGTCAATACGAGAGAGAAACTTCAGGGACTTTTTGCGCATCCCTGATGGCATCATGAACATCGTGGAAATCAATGTTTCAGTAACATCACAGCTATCAATTAAATATCTTGTTCTTTCGTTTGCATTCGCATATTATGATCGCACCTCAAGATTATTCTCTATGAGAGACTATATTTTGCGACCGCAATAATTCTTAATTTTAGTATAAATAAATCATATCAATTATATATAAGTAAACTTAAACATGCAAGACAAACAACGGAGATGCAAAATAAAAGGCTTAAGCTATGCAGTAAAATAAGGTGGAAAACACGATTAAAAAGTAAAAATTTCAACAACCAATTACATCTTTGCTTTGACATGCGTGAGCGGTGTGAAGGATTTGTCTCAGAAATGAACATTTTCAATCCTTCCACATCACAGATATTTATAAAAGTGCAAAAAATGTGCGGTAATGAATTTTTTGCGATTCAACATTGCTTTTGATAAAGCATACTGAAAAATTAAGAAGAGAGCAAAAATTTGTGCGTCACTCTTGTGATATCGTGCGACTATATTCAGAAACAATATCAACATAATAACAATAAAGCAACATTATTATAAAAGCGATAAAATTGTAGACATATGGCATATTAATATAAAAATATTTTTTCGAATACATAAAACTTCTCAGAAGATATACATATAAAGAGGCATTTTAATAAGCGTGTAAGAAAGCTGTTTAGTCGTAATTTTCGGTTGTTTTTGCAGATTTATAGCTTAAAATAAAAGTTGGAATTATTTCAAATGTTGCTGCAAAACGTCTAAGCAATTTTGCAAGCAATTTAAAAAACAAAAAAGTGTAATCAACAATGATAATGCCGACTTACCATTATCGTCGATAACAAGTTGCACATGTTGCATGACTTCCTCAACAACTAGCGTTATTTTGTTATTGACCGCTGCGCGAAACATCTCCATCAGTATACGCCCAACCATTTGCCTGCAACAAAAAAAGAGAAACGGTGACGTTAGTTCACCGGTCGGATATTGTGCATAATATTATCGATTTGCGTATCCTGCAACACGTATAAGTTATTCTGAATTGGCTCGTGCGAGATAAGATACGTTTGAATGAAAAAAGTCTAAAAAAAATGTGTTGCATTACTCGCGCTGACGCCATGAGTGGCATAATTTATATCTACAATAACTCTCTATTGATATTGTACCATATATTTTTATGGAATCAATTCAATTATATTAATACAAATCGCTACCAACGAGCAACTTTGCGTTGCCGTTTCCAATAACTGGATAGAATACCTGACGGAATTTTCCGATGTAAGTCAACCCAAGGTGTGTTTGACATTCGCATATTCGCTTTCTAAGATATGTTTGCGCTCCACTCATACATCATCTCACTTCCTCATGGTGATCGTTCTTTTTCTCTAATATTGCTCGACGTAGTCAACCAATCGTTATAGGTTCTCATTTCTTATCAATAACCACGTACATTGCATATATCGTCTCACTCGCTCTCACACGATCTGATACTTTTTTATCTATGCTATAATATTATACAATTACTGCGATTAGTTTTGTAGCCTTTCTCTAGATTAGTTAATTACTTTACATAAATTAATTTGGACTATAATATATTAAAGAATAAAATAAAAAAACATTTTTATATTAATTTTTTTATAACTTCTAGAATAATAAGGACCAATTCATAAATTAAGTAAATTATATTCTTTTTTGTCTAATATATTTAAAGTATTATATATTCTGCAAAAGTTGGAAATGCAGTTTAGGAGTAATAATTCATTATAATAATTGGATAAAGGAATGTGTCTAACGTTAAATTATTGCTAAAAAGAAGACGCAAGAATAAATTTTATATACTTTTGTTCGTCTTATCTTGATGTTCATAAAAATTTCGATAAACTCGGTTCGATAATTAAATACATCAATATAAGCATGATTTAATCAGTATCTGTTTAAGCCCGAAAGAAGGAGACAGAGGAATCTGCGAAGATACTGAAGCAAGATATTGAGAAGCAACATGTGTCCACCTTAACGACCGTGCACATGATATACCCAACGTTGAAGTGCTAAAAGGAAAATATAAGAGCAAACGCCGCGAATTCCAAGACGGCCGATTAGCTTCATCAATTATTCATACTCGTCCGCACATTTCGGCGCATTCGGCTCGGTGAAAAATTCCAGCGAACTCGAATAAGTTCGATAATTAAATACATAAACCGAGTTAGGCTTCAACACGGCCATCTCTCGAAGCTGTAAGCTATAAAGGAAGAAGACGAAGGAGAAGAAGAAAACACCGAGTATCGAGGCAAACAAGCATCAGGACAAGTACGACAAGGAAAACGAGACGGGACGAGACGACGTTTGCGGGCAGCGCACCATCATCGCAGGCCATGAAGGCGGCGGCCGCCCTCCTCGACGAGTGGAATCGAAGACGAAGAGCAGGAAGTGGAAGACGAAGTATCGCCGCCGTGTAGTTCGATCACGCTACCCTTCCCTTATCCTCCGTACCCCTGCGTGCCCTTTCCCGCCCGGCGTGACTTCGCCCCACCGCGACGCCGGGGGACCCTCCCCTCTCGCAAGGGAGACGCGAGAATGCGCGCGAGTGGGGTCGAGCGGTGGTGCCGCGGACGAGGTAGGGAGAGCGGCGGCGGAGCGTCGGCGGTGGTGGAGGCGACACCAACGGAACACCGCCGGCGGTGCCCCACCAGGAACGCAGCGACGCATCGCCGAGTGGGGCAGAAGCGTTCTCCAAAGTAGTTGGAGAACGTGCGGCTAAACGGTACCGCCCGTGAACGCCTACCGTCCTGGCGCAAACATGGCCGCCGACCGCGGCGGCGGCGGCGGCGGCGATGACGGCGGTCGCAGCGGCAACGACGACGACGTCGACGAAAGCGAGGGAGAACGAAGACAGTCTTCCCTGTGGAATTTCGGGAGTAGGCGCGCGCGCGCGCGACCGCGCGTCTCGCGGGTCTCCGCGCGCGGAAATCCCTCCCGAACGTGCGTATCGTCTGCTCCCATGCGCCCTCTACCCACCTGTACATTTTGCAGGGCGACGACTTAGGTTCATTTCGCCTGGACCCACAGACACCCCCTGGCCCAAAATTGAAGTACGAGCGCCGACACTTCCCTACGGCTTACCACGCGCATGATCGCCGTAGTTTGCGAAGATCGATAAAGAACGCGGCGTTTTCTTCCTCCCTCTCACGCGCACAAGCAACGTTGTAGTTGTATACATATAATATATACATTATATATATGTACACATACATATATAATATATACATATATACAATGTGTACAAGGAGGAACTGATTTTAGGTACCAACGATTGATGTGGACTTTTTCCGTGGTATCGTAATACATATCGATTGTACGCCACAGGGTTGCGAGCGAAATAAACTTGGACACGTCGGAAATGCAAATTCGTATACTTTGTGAGTCGAATCTTCACTTGAAAAATTGTAGAATCGTTGAAAAAAATTATCCTTTCATTTTATTCCTTCTAGTTAACTTTTTGATTAGCAAGTAAATGATAAAACTACACCGCTAGAACGATGCTCTGTATTAAAATAATTTTTTGTAATTTGGGGTGTGTAAATCTTTTTAAACTTGTAGTAGACGAGGAGGATAAAAATTATTTCATCAAGATTAAAACATGATAAAAAAATGTTTTTGATGCAATTTCATTATTCACTCTTAGTAGTAAACAGAATAAAAGTAAAAGTAAATGCCAATTTTCCGATAATAAAAGGTTCGCCATTTTATAGTTAATGGCGCGCAAGTGTTTGCAGTGATCGGTTTTTCGGTTAGAAAATAATCTATAATTAATTTTAAGGCATTAAAAATATTTTTCATTAATAATCAAATTCTTAAAATCAATTCTTCTAATAATTTTATCTAATACTTTTGATTAATAATTTAATTTGATTAATCTAAAATAATCTTTGTCCTGCTCTTATATGAACGTGACCTTCTTTGGCTTAAAAAAATAAAAAAATCTCTGAGACATTGATCTTTCTTCCAAGGAAAATGCAATAAGCGACAAAAGGAAATAACCGCTTCTTTTTCCATTCAAAGATCGTTTTACAAAAATTAAAAATAAAGGAATAAAAAAAAGCATTAATGTCACCTCTACAAATATCCCCTCGTAAATTGAGAAATTCTCGCTAGCGTTTCAGAAAAAGGTCATTTATGGTCACTTTTTTGAAAACTTGCAGTCAGACACAGATTTCCGGAAAATGTTGACCTGATACTCTTTTACCGCTCTGTAAATTTATTAGATTCCGTTAACATTCCATTTTCCGATAATACTTTTCTCTCTGTCGATAGTTCGAACACAGGCACTTCGACAGTCTATTGTCTTATCTACAGACAAATGCACTAGTCGAGAATGATAAAGCAAATCAGTAGGAAGTAAGAGCAAAATGACTTATAACCCAGGGAATATCTCAAAGATACTTTTTAGCCATGCTAATAAAACTAGATGTTGCGCATAGAAAGAGAATTTCTCATCGGATCGAATCCGACGAAGTACACCCCAAGAGAACTAAAAGAATTCTCGAATAGTTCAAACTTCAGAATGTGAAATCAGTTACGGCCGTTTTCTATAGAATGTTTTCTATAGAAACTAAAAAGTAGACCAGCAAGGGAGGATACTGTATCCCTGCGAGAAAGAAAAAATCCATAAACAGGGGAAAAAGTGTCTTGTTTATGTGTGAGCGTGCCTTGAAGGCCCACGAGGAGAATCTATATCTCGATCGTGAGCCAAGTATGTGTCCGCATTATCGAATCAAACCTTGAAGAAGTTCAATTCGAAGCTCGTCTCTAAATTCGGCTCAAGGTTTAACTCGTTAATGCGAATCATCCTTTAAGATTGAAAATAACTTCTTCACATACTTCATGAGTGAAGATAACTTGAAGATTGAAAATGACTTCTTCACGTACTTCACGAGTAAAGTATATTAGGAAGGATTGGGGCATATTACTGAAGCTAAGTGTCATAGAAAAAAAGAGAATGAGTGACAGGATTAAAAGGGAAAGATGGGCGTTTCTTTATTTAAAATACATGAATATTTCAGATAATCGCCTCTTGGATTTCGAGCTCTCCTTAGTCTCATCACCGACACCTGTCCTAGCACGTACCCTCTCGAAAACCGTTCCGCGGGCTTAAGACTTGTACTCAGTACTGATAAGATCATTGCTGTCTTTGAATTTCCGACTAGTATAGGAAGCTGAGCAGGTGCGCACATGACGCGCGGAAGAATTTTTTTGACCGCTGAAACAGAACGGTGGCCACGTGACAATCCGTTAATTGAGAGAGAGAGAGAGAGAGATAGAGAGAGAGAAAGGTGGATTTCTCTAATCAAGATGCGTGTTTCCCAAATCGAAATTATTTTTACGCAGTAATTAATAACGCTAAACAAGTGTAATACGCGTATCTTTAACAATACAAAAAAATTCCTCTATTCTCACATAAAGTTTTTATCAAAAAAATTTAACTTTATTAAGAATTAAATGAATAGAAAATTGTTGTCAAAAGTTACTTTTAGAAAGATCTTGAAATTACAAATCTTTTATGTCAAAAATTACAAGTTTTTTACATCAAAATTGTTTTAACAAACGCTTCAATGCTTCCGTTTATATCATAAAATTATTTTATAAAATGAGTAAGAAGCAATTTTTCATTGCATTTATTATTTCACAGACAGTCCCTTTATTCTACAATATAAAATTTTAATAATATACATTTTTAATGTCAATCTTTTTTCGGTTTAACTCGGTCAGTTGATTTCGGTCTGTTTTAACATATCTCGATATGAATACGCAAGAAAGTTATGACAGAGAGGAAGTAGAGAAAAGGAGAGAGAAAGAAAGAAAGAGGGAAATTAAGATTCGTTGACTTTTGCTTTAATCTTTCCACGCGAGTTTGTGATACCGGAAAGAAGATCGAACGGTATG